TCGTCGTTCCTGTCGCTGCAGTCCCTGGGCGAGGTCCACCACGTCGACCCGAAACTTGCAAAGTCGGTGCTCATCAGATTCTATTCGGCCATGCACCTGTTGATGTGGAGGCAGGGCTTGCAGATGATGCACACTCTTTGCGCGAAGGTTCGCGCATCTGGAGGTGAGTTGATTGTCATATCCGAGTACGCTTCTTACGATGAGACGCCCCTCCCAGTGAAGGTGAAGTCCGACGAGGCCGTCGTCGTCGACATCAGCGGTGCCGCAGCGGTGCTTGCCGGAGCGGGCGGCGGCGCCGCAGCGGTCGCACAGCAGTCAGAGGAGCCGAAGGCCAAGATCTTGCAGACCGAGTTCAGGATTTCGATGTTAGTGAAAGTTCAGGGCACCTACCAGGAGGTCAATCTTGAGTTTCCGTGCCCGCTGCAAGTCATGGACAGGGCGACGGGCGAGACGTACGCGCATTGCCTTGATTTCAGCCAGAAGGGCCTCGACGCCGTCGCTGCACTGTTCCAGCGCCGCGATCGCCACGTGATGAGTGACTCCGACACGGCCGTGCTGCGGGGAGAGAGGTGCCTCGCGACGAAGCGCCCCGACACGGCCGTGCTGCAGGGCTTCTGCAGGTTGCATCGCATCTCGTCCATCGCGACCAACGGGATTGACAAAATGTTGAAAGATGACGTGACAGGGATCATCAACATTGCGTTGTCGTTGAAAGCGTCAGGTGCCATGAGGGTGTTTCGCCGCTCCCTGAGGGCCATCATTCGTGACCGACTCGTAGTGCTCAGGGGTTCGCCTGGTCCCGTGGCAGACCTGCGCAGGGCCAAGCTGCTCGACACGTTCTGCCCGATCCACCCTGGAGACAGCAAAGCTTTGATCGACAGGGCAGTCGTGGAGCTCTGCGCCAATGGCAATTGGGACAATCATGATGTGTTCGAGGTATACGTGGCGGGCCCATACGACAGAGATGAGATAATTCATTACATATGCGTGCACTTTGTGAAGGTCGTGGCTGGGAAATGCTTCCGCCCGTACCCTAGGTCGCGGTGGACGGGCGCCAGGGGAACTCTTGAGAGGCTGGGGCTGCTCATGAATATACATGGTTTGTTCGAGGCCGCATACGTTCATTTCTGCAAGAGCTACAACGTCACGGTGCGTCAGGTGCACCAAGAGCCTGTGCTGCCCATCCGCGACGCGGACGGTGCGCAGGACGCCGAGAGCCACCTGCCCGTGGACCACAAGAGCGACGCCAACGCCCAGTTCATCCAGCAGAGGAAGGGCTACATGAAGGTGGGGCTGGGGTTCGCTATTTGCAAGGCGTCGCCGACGAAGTTAGTTGTCATGACCATGACCGTTGAACCGCAACAAGCTTTCATGCAATCCGCCCTTGAACTGGCTGGCAAGGCGTGGGATAGGAAGCAGAATGCACGCCACGCCTTCGCGTTGCAAGAGAACTTAGGCCACGCGCAGAGGAGATTCAGAGTGCAGGAGGTTTACGACACAGTGCAGGAAAGGAAGTATCACGATGACGTGATTGCCCTGATGAATGGAACTGGTGATTGCTGGGAGGCATTGCCGTTAGCCAGTCGTACCTCGAGTACTCGGTGCATGTCGTTTCGCGTGTTGGCGTTCGGACTGGGTCATACTTATGCGAAGCTGGTGAAGCCGAGCGTGAACTTCCCCAATCGTACGTATCGGCTTGCGTTCGAGAGCATTCAACTGAATGACATGTCACACATGGGCCGAATGTTGGGAATGTACCCGACGTGCCGCCTCGACCCATGGACCCTGAAGGTTGTTGAGCATTACGGCGGCGACATCTACTCTGAGCGCGCCGTCATCGACGTTGCCACCAGGGCAATGCACGAGGAAGTGGACAATGCGAGACGGGAGGCTACTCATGCGAGCATCCGTCGGGACGTGCTCAAGGCGTCGTGCCAGTCGCCGACGATCGAGTTCCCATTGGCCAGCGGCCGCTTCGTGGACAGGAAGAGCAAACAGATCTGCGACTGTGGGCTCCAACGGGCGCAGCACGGCGACAATGAGTGCGACTATGCTGACGGAGAGGGGGGACCGCATCCGAAGAGGGTCAAGAGGCCGAGCGGCGGTGCATGCAGGGCCTATCTGAGCGAATCGCTTCGGGGCGCCCCCAGGGCGGAGCAGGACATGAAGGCGTTGCACGCCAAGTACAGGGCCCAAACGCCCGCTGAACGGCAGAAGTATGTGAGTGACGGTGCTGCTGCCACGCACGCAGCCCGAGATGGCATTTCAAGGCCTTTCGGCTTCACTGCCCGCGACGCTCACAGGGCTCACCAGCGCGGCGACCACCGCCGAGAAGTACAGGAGCTCAAGGACGGCGTTGTCAACCGCATGCGGGCGCAAGTGCTTGAAGGACAACAGCCGCATCATTCTTCGTCTTCTTCCGCGTTGGCCCTCCCCGTGGCGAACACGTTCGATGCCATTGCAGAGGGCATCGCAGCGGCCCGCAAGGCGAAGCTCCTGGCCGACAAGGAGCGCGTCTTGGAGCAGCGTACCTACGACACGGCACTGGCAAGGCACACTGGAGAATCGGATGTCTCGACGGCGGCCTTGAGAACAGTTGCTGGCACTTGCGCGTCGGGCGTGGCAGACACGATTTCCTGGGAGCACCGACCGCCATTGTCTTCGACAGTTCAGTCTGCTTGCTGGAGGCCTCGGACAGCCAGAGAGTTAGCCCAGCTGGTCGCGGGCTTAGACACGCCTTCCAGCCCAATTTGCAAACGTTTGGCATCGATGTTGGAGCGCGACTGGGATGTCCGACATATGACTGTCCAGCACAACGCGTGTCAGCAGTTTGGCAAGATACCGCCCACTTGGTCTCAATGCTGGCTTCGGGACATGTGCTGCTGCCGCGGGGATGACCGTCTGCTCGTAGCGATGGTGTCGAAGTTATACGATGCTCTTCGGCACGATTTTCCGCCAGGCGGATCGGCTAGACATGATCTTCAACATGGTTGGTTCGTCGTGTGCATCGAGAGTCGGGCGCCAGACGGCCTGGCTGCTGAACCAGAGGCCGAGCCCCATGTCACTGACACATGGTGGCTCCACGTGTCGTTTCAGAGTCTGAGCCCGATGTTCGCAGTTTACGTCGGCATGAGCTCTGAAAGCACGATCATAGACAACATGGTCAAGCTCGAGGCTGACTTTGACATCGTCAACGACTACGAAGCTATGCGATCCATCAGGGATGGTGTTGGATATGGTGCTGCACTGCATCGGAGATATTATCGCCTCATCGACTCAGACGGCATCGTTGTGGAGACCGCGCCGAAGTTCCAGGAGGCCCGCGCCATCGGGGGCGAGTTGTGCTTCTGGCCTGGCGAGGCGGCCTACAAGAAGTCGGCTGCATGGTTGAGGTCGGGCGTTCAAAAGGAAGAGGGTTCGATGAGGACGAGGAGGAGAATGGATATATGGGGGGGATGAGGAGTGGAAAGGAGGTAGGAGGGGAGGGAGGATTGACCTAATAATGAGGAGGAGGGACGAATGAAGGAGGAGCTGGAGGGCGGTACCCGTGGGAATCTCCTTGGCCAAGGGTGGGGGCGCATCTATACGCAGTGTGCTAAACATCCGTGGGGCCCTACATGTGCTTTCGCGTGTCGCCCGAATGAGAAATAGGCGGACGGCGGGAATGAGTTGATGATCATGCGGGCAATGAGAGGGCGAGGGGTGCATGACGAGGAGGGTGGATGCGGACGAGGAGGAGGATCATGGTGATGCGGCGGGAATACGTCGGCGACGGTGGCGTCCTCGACGACGGCGACGGCCGTGCCGACGACAGGGGTCATCGATCAAGGCCTTCACGTATCCCTCGCTCTTGGAGTCACTCGTCAAGTGCCGACGCTGAGACTTTGTGGGGCGCTGTATACTGTATAGGGGTCTCCAGGGGCCCGCAAAATGGCCTTGTGTGGGTGGGTGGGAGAAGGGCTCGGAATGGATGGGGGGATGGATCCGTGCTGGAGGACACCGTGCACGCTTGAATGCCACGTTGTACTGTAGAGCTTCATGGGGGCCATAGTCGTTGTCACAGTTGGAATATCTTAGGGCCCTCGTGTGGGGACATGTGGGCACGCTTGGGCCTTATGGGCGGGCGTAGACCAATGGAGGGGAATGGTGTCCGTGCTTAGGAATAGCCCTCCTAAAGCGACTGTGCGCTTCTTCGGGCGAGCTTGGTGCACTCATGGGGCTCCCCGCTGCGTTCTCAGGGGCGGCGCCGTTTGTTTCTGGCTGCCCTGGGCGAAATTTGGGTCGTCTCGAGGCGTCGGGATTTCACTAGTGGCAAGCAAGCGGTTAGCAATATGTGTTTGTTTTCTGGGCAAGCCATGGGTTCTCGGAGGGCATCGTCGGGGGCGTCCGTGGCTGCTGGGGCAGCCGCGGGAATGTACTGGGGCATATTGGTGGCATGTTCGGATGTCACCCTGGTGTATCTTTAGGTGTCTTGGGGTGGGGGCAGCGTTTTGTGCGGGTGCTTATGTGCCCTTGGGTGCCCTTTGGCGATTGGTTGGGGCCCTGTTGGTGCGTTGGTGCCATATTGTGCCATCCTGGGCAATCCACTTGAATGGCCACCTGCCCACCCCCGTCCCAGATGGCTGGTGATGCGTTTTGTTTGTGCGCCTCGCTAACGCAGGTCGGCAGCAGCTGGCGGCGGCGCCGCCCCTGGCGGCGGCGACGAGCCTGGTGCAGGCGGTGCCGTTGCAGAGCCAGTCCATGGCATCGACAATGGCGAGGCTCATCACGACCATGGCGACCTCGACGAGGCAGTCGACGGTTGCACAGACGATGACCCCGTTCCGCCCGAGGACGAGGGCGATGATGATTCAGACGACGACCACGGTGCAGACCCTGGCGGTGGTGGCCCTGGCCATGGCGGTGGTGGCCCGCCAGCGGGTGGCGCTGGCGGCGGCGGGGCAGCCCCCGCCCTTCCCCCAGGGCCTGGGGGCCCCGCTGGGCCGCACGTCCCAGCTGAGGTGGTCTTGCCGATCGGTTGCGGTGAGATCGTGTACTACGACACCAAGCGGTTCGTGGCCTACTGCAAGTGCAAAGGTCACGTCAAGTGCAGCAGAGAACGGAAGTCTGTGGCAGGCGTTCGGCCAGCAATTGGACGGCCGCTTGGCCTACTTGCGGCTTGGCTGCGTGCGGGCGACAGTTGGCATGATAAGAAAGAGCATTGCGACATCGGCATGAAGGCGATCACCATCGACGATCGCAGGGAGGGCCGCCGCGAGATCGAGCTCCTCGCAGAGCACGGGAACGCGGCCGCGGCCCAGCTGCTGGCGTCCGAGCGCGAGCTCAGACCAGGCGAGGGACCCGAGCCAACGATGCCGCCGTGACATTGGATTTGTTGAAGCTTCTTTCGTGCAGCTTCTTTCGTGAAACAGACAGGTGAGGAGGCAATTGGTTGTCCCGTCGTGTCCCATGGGTGTCTCAGCGCTCACGTGTCGTCGCTCTGGCAGTTGCTCATGGCCGCCGCGCCCCCTCCGCCCCCCCCCCCATGTGGTCGAAGTGGCTGCGTGTAGAGTTCGGGTCATATATTAACGCAGCTTGCGTGTATTCGCGTTTAGCGGCCACCGTGATAGTCATGATTGAGACGGCCCTGTATGCCGTCAGCGCGGGCTCCATCGAGGTAGCCATGAGTTGATTTTGGGGGGCGCGGCTGTTTCTGGAACCCCCTCCCCCCCCGACGGGGCCGCTGCTCTCTGCCCCGTGCCCCGAATTGCGCGTTTGGGAAGCAATGCGCGTGATTGGCGGTACTTGAGCTCCAGGACGCAAGTGCCCATGTACCCCCCCTTCTGTCGGTTTCCCGCGTTGTCCCGATGCGTGATTGGCGGGGGTGGGTGCTTGAGCAATCGTGCGGAGGCGGCGTAGGGTTTTTTCGTGCCATATTGTATACGACGGCCACCAGGGGGGCATTAATTTCTCCAAGAGTGGGTGTTAGGGGGCAGCGTCGGCTTAGCAACAGGCTCCATGAGGCGTGGACTGCGGGCTTTCATGAGGGCAAACCGCGGGCCCAAATTGCTATATACATGTATGTATGCTTTCCATGCGTCCAATTTCAAGCTGGAAGCCCAACGTACCGCGTCTTGAAGTCCGACCGCCCCGTGAGCCTTGAGCCCCGAGGTGCACAGACTGATCATGGTCGCAATTGCCAGCGGTCACACCCGCCCAACGGTGATTCTGGACATTTCGCGCAGCCCCAGCAGCACATCCAGAAACGACGCCAACGGGTTGCATGATAGGCGAGGGGGCGGGCCTCAGAGCACCTCGGGGTCGCATGAACCCGTTCGGTTCGAATTCCAGGAAGGGGAGAGGGGGAAGGAGGAGGGGACGGCAGGGGGACCCGATCATCAACAATGCGATGGTCCATATCGGGGTTGCGAGGGCGCCGCCGTGCCACGGGGCGGCTCTGACACTTCTGGGGCATTGCCCGTGCATGGGTGCCGCCCGCCCCTGGCCCGTGGAGCCCCGCCCTGGAGGGCCGAGCGCCCACAACCTGTCGATGCTATGTTGTGGTATGCTATGCTAGGCGATGCGAGGCTGTGCAAGTATTGGGTAAGCTAGGGCCTGCTTTGCGATGCTATGCACTGCGGTGCTATGCATTTGCTATGCGGTACTTTGCTAGGCGGTGCACGTGCTACCATATGATATGCTGTATTGTCTTATGCTGCCCGATGCGATGCGATGCCACCCTATGCTATTCCAGGCCATGTCGCGATGCCAGCCGATGCTGTTGAATGAGAACATATGCTATGATGTGCAATGCTATGCAATGAATCATCGTGTGTATCCTCTCTATCGGGGAAAGGGTTGGGGGTGGGGGCGCGGCTGTATATACGGTCTTGCTTGGATCACTTTCCATACATCCACGAGTCGAGCGTTCTATAGGTTGACCTTCTGATTTCTCGTGCTATTCACACTGCTCCTCTTCGCTGAACATGTCGACCGACCAGGCCGACCACGTTGCTACGTTGGGAGTGAAGTGACAGTTGTCCGAGTGAGCTTGGCTGACATTCCTACCCCCTTACTCAGCGCTCCTGCTGGGGGTGGGGATGGGGGGCATGGACCTCGCAGCCGTGCCCCGTGGGGCCCTCAAGACACAGGGGGCGCTCAGCAAGGTATCCTCGTGACAGGGCGGGACTGCGTCAGGCGATCCAATCAGTTCAGCCGTCTGCACGCAGCTCTAAACGCAAATGCAAAACATACATTGCATACGTGCACACAATGCACACTTGCACCACGCAGCACCAGCACTGCATGATCGTTGCCAGGCCACAACAAGCAGGAGTGGTGGCAAGGGTAAGGTAGGGGGCACGTAAGCATCCGAGTAAAACGCGTGGGCCCAGCAATGTTATCCATACGATTATACACATACTCGTACGACACAGTTCCTCCTGTCTTGTCCGCGTACCACATGTGCCCCACGGCCCTGCGAGAGAGCAGCACGCAGGCGAACAACCTCGCCAGCGTCGCAATTGGTTCCTGTATGTTGTTGAATTCAAGCGGTTTGAAATCATGCGATCCTGAACCCAGTGAGGCAAGCAACACTGAGCTGCTGGACCGCGTTATGAAACCAACCACCCCGATATGAACTCATGTGCTGCTGAACTGCGATATGTAGCCAACACTGCTGGTACGGAGTGAAGTGTTGAACTGTTCCCTTATACTCTCTGCGGCTCATCGAAAATTCCGATCGCGCCCGAATAGCCGATCCCCAATTCACCGATAACATCCACAAATTTAGGTTGCGAGTCACTGAGCTGGGGCGGGGGGGGGCGCATCTCGATCTGCACGATTACCACCGCCAACAGACCCGTCGCGAGGAACACTCCCGCGAACACTCCCACTGGGATCCGTCCCATCATCAGCAGCTGACTTGTCGCTAGTGAGGTTCCCGTGATCGCCCGCGTTCGCATGCGTCCGCGGCACTCAGTTCGGCACGCCCTCGCACGATTCGTTGCTGTTAAGGGGCGCAACCGGATGCCCCAATGGCTGCGTTCGCATGCGTCCGCGGCACCCAGTTCGGCACACCCCTCACATGGCTCGTGGCCCTCAGGGAACCCCACCGACGGCTCAACTGGCTGCGTTCGCATGCGTCCGCGGCACCCAGTTCGGCACACCCCTCACACGGTTCGTGGCTTTTCGGGGGCCGAATGGCCACGAAACATGTGAGGGGTGTACCGAACTGGGTTCCGCGGACGCATGCGAACGCGGCCAGTGGAGCATTCGCTCCCTAAGGGCCACGAGCCATGTGAGGGGTGTGCCGAATTGTGTGCCGCGGCCGCATGCGAACGCGGCCACGGGGGCCTTCGGTGGAGCTCCCGAAGGGCCACGAACTATCTGAGGGGTGTGCCGAATTGGGTGCCGCGGGCGCATGCGAACGCGGCCGCGGGGGCATTCGGTGGAGCACCCTAAAAGCAACGGAGCGTGTGAGGGGTGTGCCGAACTGGGTGCCGCGGACGCATGCGAACACTGCCAGTTGAGTCTTTGGTTGGGCTCCCTAAGGGCCACGAACCCTGCGAAAGGGGTGTGCCGAACTGGGTGCCGCCGACGCATGCGAATGCGGCTACTGGGGCATTCGGTGGAGCTCCCTAGCGGCCACGAGGCGTGCGGGGGGCGTGCCGAACTGGGTGCCGCGGACGCATGCGAACGCGGCCACTGGGGCCTTCGGTGGATCCCCCTAAGGGCCACGAGCCATGTGAGGGGTGTGCAGAACTGTGTGTCGCGGGCGCATGCGAACGCTGGGGCCGTCGGTGAAGCTCCCTAAGGGCCACGAACCGTGTGAAGGGTGTGCCGAACTGAGCGCCGCGGACGCATGCGAACGCGGCCGCTGGGGTCTTCGGTGGGGCCCACGAAAAGCAGCTGTGTGCCGAACTGGGTGCCGCTGGCGCATGCGAACGCGGCCGCTGGGGCCATCGGCGGGGCTCCCTAAGGGCCACGAACCATGTGAGGGGTGTGCCGAATTGGGTGCCGCGGGCGCATGCGAACGCGGCCACAGGGGTCCTCGGTGGAGCTCCCTAACGACCACGAACCTCGTGAGGGGTGTGCCGAACTGGGTGCCGCGGACGCATGCGAACGCTGCCAGTTGAGCCCTCGATGGGGCACCATAAGGCATAAGGGCCACGAAGCGTGTGAGGGGTGTACCGAACTGTGTGCCGCGGACGCATGCGAACGCGGCCTGTGGAGCCTTCGGTTGGTCTCCCTAAAAGCTACGAGTCGTGTGCGGGGTGCGCCGAACTGGGTGCCGCGGGCGCATGCGAACGCGGCCACAGGGGGCCTTCGGTGGAGCCCCGTGAATGCCACGATCAGTCTGAAGGGTGTGCCGACTTGTGTGCCACGGGCGCGTGCGAACGCTGCCACTGGGGCATTCGGTGGAGCCCCGCAAAAGCCACGAACCGCGTGAAGGGTGTGCCGAACTGGGTGCCGCGGACGCATGCGAACGCTGCCAACTGAGCCTTCGGTGGAGCTCCCTAAGGGTCACGAAGCGTGCGAAGGGCGTGCCGAACTGGGTGCCGCGGGCGCATGCGAACGTTGCCGTTGGGGCCGTCGGTGAGGCCCCCGAAAGGCTACGAACCATGTCGAAGGGCGTGCCAGACTGGGTGCCGCGGACGCATGCGGACGCGGCCACTTGGGGCCTTCGGCGGTGCCTCCTAAGGCTACGAGGCGTGTGGGTGTGTGTGCCGCAGTGAATGGAGCGGGCGCGTGCAAACGCTGTCAACTGAGCCTTCGGTGGCGGCGCGTACACTCAAATGTTCTTCCGTTTGGTCGGCAAGGTCTGTGCCAAGTGTGGTGCGCGGGCCGCCCAGGTGGACGGGGCGCGCGCGCGCCCGCCCGTGTATGCGCGGTGGGTTCTGTATTGTCCACAATTAGAAGGCCGCCTTGTAATTCCAAAAACTGAATGGAACTTTTTCTGGGCGCCTTTAAGGAGGCCGACGGACGCGCCGACATTCTTATTGTTGGCTATACAGACCACGCGCGTGAACGCGCGGCGCGCGCGCGCGCCCATCTGTGCATTCGTTGTCAATTCTGTGTTTTCCACAATAAGAAGACCGCCATGTAATTCCAGAAACTGAATTGAACTTTTCTGTGGGCCTTTAAGGAGGCCGACGGGCGCGCCGACATTTCTATCCTTGACAAGACAGAACTCACCACGCGCGCGCGGCGCCCGCGCGCGCTCACCTATGTATGAGCGGTGGGTTCAGCATTGCCCACAATAAGAAGGTCGCCTTGCAATTCCAAAAACGAAATTAAACTTTTCTGTGGGCCTTTAAGGAGGCCGACGAACGCGCTAAATATGCTAGTGTGGCCAATACGCACAGAACTCACCACGCGCGCG